TAAGCTTATTTTATATAATCGGTTAAGTATTAAGTAGTAAAAGGTAAAGCCGTGTTTATAAGATATTAAAAACGGGGATGTATGCTTATTTTCGTAATAAGGAATTTTAAGGGCTAGTGGCGTTTATAATAATTTATTTTTAATTTTAACGATTACTTTTATAGTATTAAGGAGTGGAAGGTGTTATATAAATGCTTATTACGGTAATTTTTAATTTTTAATAAATTTTAACGATATAGTTATAACTTATTTATAAACTTAACCGTTTGCTTATTAATTTACGGGGTATTGTTTTTTTAATATTAAAAACGTAATTAATGCTTTTTAGCCCTTATGGTTAACCCATTTTTAAATAGTTACTAAGTTTGCTTTTTTAATTTTAACGATTTATAAAATATTAATATTTTTTAAATTTTATACAAAATATAATATTTTTTAGCACGTGTTAATACGTGCTATTTCGTTAAAGTTTATTATCGTTAATTCGTAAGGTTGTTAGAAACGGGTTCCGGGGTTTGTTAACAAAGGTATGGGCACCCTTACGTTAGGTAGATTATATAGGGGTGGGTGGGTGGTTGGGATTGGTTATGGTTTTGGTGTATGGTTATGGCGGTTTAATGGTTTGGATAATTGCTACTATTTGGTAGGCAACTCTTAAAGGTTAAAGAAGAAGAAGTTGTTGATTTAGCTATTCTCTGGATTAAAGATTCGGGGGATCTATTTACGAGCTATTTGCTAGTCGGCCTATGGCCTTGGCTGTGCCTTTTAGAGTGATCGGCCTATGGCTTTGGCTTATGCTTTCTAGGGTGATCTTAGGGATCTACGATCCCTAGGATCGCAGTTGCCTATTAATATTTTAATATATATTTTTACACCGCTTTATGTCTTTAATCGTGATAATTACTAGTTGCTAGTATTACAAATAGTGTTTCGTAGGAATTATTACAATTTGTATTGTTTATGAAGGTTTTAGTTAGTCACATACCACCATCCAGTACCCAAATATCGTCCAAAGAGTCGTCGTGCCTATGAACATGTACCCCATGACGTATGCATGGCCTAGAAGTAAACTCGTAGCCACATACCGGCCGAGGACGCCTCCAATGATTCCTATCCAGGCGACAAAGAATCCGACTTCCCACACCTTAGCCCGTAGCTTGGAGTGACGCGACAGCTCCTTGCTGGAGCGCATAGAAGTACCCCACGAATCGTTGAATAGGGTGATAAGACTCCAGAACTGGACGGCGGGCAGGGGGATGTTGTAGAAAAGGTTGGCTGGAATGGCCAGCAGCCACTCCTGGAAACTGGGACGCAGGGGGTTGCGGAAAGCAAGGTAAAGGAGGGTGAAGGCCATCCTGCGCAGGTAGTCCTGGATGGAAAAGCGAAGGGTCACGACACCAGTGAAGAGGTATACGATGGCGATGACCAGGACGGAGAGGCCGGTGAGCTGGCGTCGGAGGGCGGCGAAGAAGAAGATGGGCGGCTGCTGGAGATAGACCTCGGGACGGCAATAGCTCTCGATGTGGACGGATCGGGCCCATCGGACCTGTTGCAAGAGCCACCTCCGCAGATTGACGGGGGATTCGGTGGCGGTGAAGGCATCGGGGATGAAGAGGATCTTCCAGCCCTTCAGCAGCAGACGGGTGGTCAGGTGGCGATCCTCGTTGACGATCATCCAATGGCCCAGGACGGTCTGCTTGTACCACTGCAGCAGCTCGGGGAGGATGGTGTTGGTCCGGAAGACGGCGCATGGGCCGCTTTGGCAGTCGTTGGCGCCAAAGGCACTGGCGAAGCATCTCGACAGGTGCAGCTCGTTGAGGAAGACGGAGTTGCCGACCTTGGTGATGGCGGTGTCGTCCCGGTTGTGGATGGACAGGGCGGTACTGGCACCGGCCACCCGGGGATCTCCCGCGATGGTGGCCGTGGTGCGCGAGATGGTGTTGGGGAGCACGATGGAGTCCGAGTCGGAAGTCCACAGGAACTCCAGGCCGAGGGCGTCCGAGATGACCTTGGCAAAGATGAAGGAAGTGAACATGACGCCCTTCTTGTGCATGTGAGGTTGGCTTATGCACAGCTTGGTGATAGCGCCGTCGCCAGTCAGGTGGATGTGCTTCTCTTGGAGGAGCCGCTTGGCGAGGAGGCAGCACTTGTTGAGGATCTCATCATCGTCGTTGTCGGCCTGCCACTTGGGTCTGCCGCGGTCCATCTGCAGGGCGATCTCGACGAGAGGCATACTGAGGTGGAGGACGGCAGACCGGGTGCTGTAGACGTTGGTGAAAACATTGACCATCTCCCGGTCCTCGTCGGCGTCGCCATCCACACAGGCGAGCACAAAACGGCAGTTGTCGGCGCGCAGGTAGCTTTCTAGAGCGCGGGTGAAGATCTTGGGGTCTTCGCGGTAGCCTACGACGGCAGCAAGGCAGTCTAGGCTACGATCGGAAGCAAAGTTGGCATCTTGGCCGCCGCTCGTCTCCTTCTCCGACAGAGCGAAGGCATTGTTCTCGTTCCTCAGGGCCGCCCTTTTGCGGTTCCTCTCGTTGGACCAACCACAGTACTCGGCCAAGAGAACGGACAGAGAGGTGTCGATGGTCCATAAGTGGTCGGAGTAGAGGAGGAGGTAGAAGTAGAGGGCACAGGCGACGACGCAGCCGAAGAAGTTGAAGCACTTGCGGGTCGGGGATACGGCCGAGGACTCGACCTGGTTGCGGTCCTCGCTGGGCTTCGGGCGAAGAATGTAACCCATCGGTGACTTGTGACTTATTAGAGGACGGGAAAGGAGAGGGACGGGCGAGAAGAAGATCTCGAGAAGAAGACCTCGAGTTCCAACCCGCGTCGGTCAAGGCGCGAAGGCCCTGGCTTATGAGCCATGGTTTGAACCCCCGGCCAGCATCGTGAGAAGAGACCCCGTCGGCTGGATTGAGGTGAAGTCTCCGAGGCTGGGCGAGCTATAGGACTAGTTCGCAGTCCGCGCCGCCGAGATGCAGGCACCAGCCTGGCCAGACAAGGATTTACCTTAAAGGAACGAAAAGAATTCGCATCGGGGCCGTGGTGGAAATTAGCATCCCTCAGCCTCACCCGCCCTGCCAATTAATTACACCTCGAGTCAGCATGTAGGTGAGCAAGGTATGAATAAGGTGCCTGAAAACCAACTTACGCTTCTCTCCTGAGTCCCGAGTTCTGCCTCCTGTCGAAGTCGTCCATAGCAATCTCCCGTGCTGTGCCCCTGACAGAGCAAGCTCCGTGAAGTCTGGATACCTAACCCTCCTGCTTCCACCACACCACCCCCCCAACAGAACCGCTCCCACACGCCATGGTTGTTGCCCTGCTTCCACGTCCAAACGGGCACGCGCCTTCGCCGGGCCGGGAGATATGGCTTGACGGCCTCCGGGGCTTTGCTGCCGCCATCGTGGCCTGGTTTCACCTGACCAACTACGGCCTCAAGATGCCCTACCGATCCTTCTGGGACGAGCCGGCCGAGCAGAACCGCCACTGGATCCAGCTCGCGCCCTTCCGCATCGTCTTCGCCGGCCAGGCTATGGTCGACATCTTCTTCGTCGTCTCCGGCTACTCCGTCTCCGTCGGTCTCATCCGGCTCCGGAACCGGGACGGCGGTCCCGAGTTCTACCGGAAGCTCACCTCGGCCGTCTTTCGCCGTCTGTTCCGCCTCTTCTTCCCCGTCCTGGTCATCACCATCCTCTCGCACACCCTCTACTACCTCGGCTTCTACGCCTGGCTGTTCACCGAGGAGCAAGGCTTCCCCGGCTGCGTTCCCTACTCCCGTCCCTGGCCGCATCTTAAGTGGTTCCTGCGGTCCATGTTCAACATCCTCAACCTACAGAGCAACCAGAACGCCTCTCTCAACGACCACCTGTGGACCATCCCCGTCGAGATGAGGGGCTCCTTGTTCGTGTACCTGGCCATCCTGGCCTTTGCTTCCGTCCGACCCGCGTTGCGCCCTGTGTCGACCGCGTTTTTGGGTCTCCGGTTCCTGTGGAACGGCTCGCCCGAGTTTGCCGCCTTCTTCGCCGGGCTCACCCTCGCCGAGCTCGACAACGCTCCCGAGCCGCTGGAATGGCCGTTGCCGTTGTCATTGCCATCGAAGCTTCGCAACTTCCAGACCCCGGCCAAATGGGCGCTGTTCGCCGTGGCTGTCTACCTGCTCTGCCTGCCGGTCCAGGACCCCTTCCCTGCCGACTGGTTTTTTCAAACGCACATCAACCCGCCCTTCTGGACCGGGTGGGAGACTCGGCTGCGTTCGTGGCAGACCATTGGCGCCGCCCTGTTCATCAGCACCGCTCGAAAGACGCCCATCCTGAAGCGGCCGTTCGAAACGGAGTTCGCCCAGTTCCTTGGCTATATCTCCTTCTCCTTGTATCTGCTACACCAGACCGTCTACCGCATCGCTCTGAACCGGATCCTGGACTGGGTCTCCATGCTCTTCCTGGGCCAGGGCTACTGGGCGGCCGAGAAGGAAGAGAACCATGCCGGTCACGTCGTCTTCTTCGCCTGGACGGTAGCCGTGGTCTTGATAGGGGGATTCCTGGCCGTGGCCTCGAAGTACATGGCCAAGGCGGTGGATCAGAGGTCCGTTGCCTTGGCACACCGTGTAGAAAAGATATGCTCATGATGCAGCCCTGTACCTAAGTTACCCATTTATCCAACCCGGAACAATCATCCCTGTCTCGCCACGCAGTAGGATATAAATAATGCTGGCGATGCTTGCTCGGCACCAACATTGCCTACTGTGGTGCAATCCGGTATGCAGTAACTTAGAAAAAGGTCGTCTCGGAGGTGATTTCCAGTCATGTCCGTCCTAAACCACAGTCGCATGTATTCATTCCGATCCGCTCCACTTCCGGATTGGGTAAGCAGGTTGTTGATAAAGCAGAGAAAGGTTACGATGGTCAAAAGTTTGATGCTGAAGTTCTGAGCCCTCAAAAACCTCCGCGTCCCTCTTCCCCCAAAAATGTTGCGGGGCGGCAAAAATGAAAAATGAGAGTTGAACCCTACCCGATTTGAACGGATGACCTTGTGGACTGGAATCACACGCGCTACCGCTGCGCCAAGGGTTCATTACACTTTCGGCTTCCTCAGACGAATCTGTGGGGAGGTGCTGCGAATGCGGACATTTCTCGTGGTCTATATTTTCAGACTTACCGGGCGAACATCGCCGAGGTCCTCCACTACTCCCCGGAGTCCCGCGCGCGACACTAAATAAGGCAAACCATTCCAAGCGACCCTGCCGCTGGGCCTCACTTTGATCCTGTTTCCATCACTGGGCGGCCCATGTTGGAAAGTGGTGTGTAGTGTACACAAGAAGCAATAGATATGCCGTCACAGTTTCTCCTTCGTGGCCCTTCGGTCGCGGAGACTTTGCATGCTCTTGAGCAAGGCGTAAGTGCTCTGCAGTTTCGGCATGTCGACCCCGGCGCGCCTGGCAATTCGGACGGGGTTGCCGAGGATAACCTCGATCTCCAAGGGCCGCCCGGCCTCCCAGTCGAGCAACATGCTCGGCTTGGCACCGACATTCCGCTCGGTGCTCTTGATGATCCTGTCTGGGGCGGCCAGACTGTCGGGAAACGGGGTGCCCAGGACCCTGGGCGCGGCGTGCCATACTTCCTTCATGATGCCGACGACGTGCTCTCGCAGTTCCGGGTCGGTCAGCTGATCCGCATTGCCTCGACCGCCCGAGAGCACGGCGGTCGGGTTGAAGGCGGCGTTGATGCAGAGCTTGTGCCACCGGATGGTTTGCAGCTCCAGTTCGCTATGCAGCTCGACATCGCGTATACCGCCGTACTCGGTCCACCAGTGGGCCAGTCGCTCCATGCAGAAGCGGCCACGCCGGGTAAGCTCGTCGCGATTCTGCGAAGAGGCAGCGGGCGAGTCCAGGCCGTGTGAATAAGGGCCCAAGCTGATCCTTGTCCACCTGTTCTGGCGTACGACGCCCTGTCGGACCTGCTCGGCGCTGACAATGGTGACGGCGCTCACGATGGGATTACCAGGGAAACACCGGCGGTAGGGTTCCTCGACCCCGACGCCGTTCTGGATGAGCACGATGCACGACTCGGCAGACACCAGAGGCGCGATCATGGCGGCATCCTCGTTGCGGTCGGGCAGTGCCTTGGTGGTGACTACGATGTAGTCCCATTCGTGTACAACGGCGGCAGACACGGAGGGGAAGACGGCGTAGGGCTTGAAGTTGTAGTCCCCGAAGGAATGGCTCTGCAAGGAGACGCCCGAGGCAGAAATGACGGCATAGTTCGAACGAGCCGTGAGCGAAGTGAGCACGTTCTGCGAGGGCTGGGGTTGAGGCGCACGCGTCAGCGTCAGTAATGGATCCGTCCCGGTTGGCGACCATACATACATGATGGAGGCGCGAGGCGTAGAAGCAGCCGACGGCGCCGGCACCGACGAACAGAACCTGTATTGGTCTTGGCCTTGCGGGCAATGGCTCAGCAACCGTGCGTTGACTCGTGGAAGGCGAAGCTGTAAACCTCAAAGCTCACTTACCGGTACTGTCCGGGTCCGGTGTCGCTTAGGTCCGCGTCCGCGCCCACGTCTGCCATGTTTTGTTGATAGCCTTGGGTAGTCGAGTTGGAGGGATGACAGACTCGATTGCCTCTCTCTGCCATACCTTAACGACCTGACCTACAGGGGCGTCCTGGTCCCGTCGGCGTGACGGGTGTGTCAGGACTCAGGAGAGTGGACGGGAGCCGGGGGCTCGGGGGTGGATGTGGCAGTGCACGCAGGTAGAAGGTTAGTGTGGCGTTTCATCCTTGTGGCTAAGGTAATGGAAGTACGGGTACCTACCGACCTTGGTACTTAGGTAGGTAAGAATGGCTCCCGCTCGAAGAAGATCTGCCCGGACAGGAAAGCCGGGGGAAAAAATGCTCGTCAAGAAGAGAACTGCACAACAGGTCAGGTTTGAACCAGACGATGAAAATCACACCTCGGTGGAAGCAGCCGCAACTTGGTGCTAATAGGTTAAGGGGAGTGAGAGAGAGAGAGAGAGAGTGGCAGAGGGTGGGGGGAGACTGTAGGTGCTGAGGCAGAACAGCTACGGCGTGCTCTATCAGAGAGAAGACGATGGCCGTTCCACGGCATAGAAAGCCTTCGACGGCCATCTAAGCACTCGTTCCCAACAACACGGGTCCCGGGGTGCATCAAGCAAACACAGTCTGAAAGCGGAAGTGATAAGGTATATAATAAATGACCCGTATAAAACCTCAAGGTTACGTGATATATGTAGTTCGACAGCCCAGCCATGCCATGCCATGCCATCCGTACATGCTCACAGATGTAAATGCTCCCATGCGTTACGTTCTCTTTTTGAACTCCATGCCGTAGTCTACCTGATCAATCCATATACATGGGGTCGCCGCCCCCGACGCCCGGCACCACCGTGCCGTACGCGTTGTTGTTCTGACCGCCGCCGCCTCGGCCCGTATCCGCCGCGTTCTGCCGCATCAGAGGAACCCGGCCGTTCGGCGCGTAACGTCCGTCCATGCTATTGGGTGCGGACGGATGGGGAGCCCTCGTGCGAGGAACCTCGAGCTTCAGCGGGTGGTGGGCTTGCGGCTTAGCCACCGCCGGCGTGATGGATGTGAACCCGTCGTCCTCTTCCATCTCGGCATCCGCGTCCTGGTCGCTGTTTTCGTCATTCGCGGCCGAGGGTGCTGTCGTCGTGGTCGGTACCGGCCGAGGGGTCGGCGGTGCTGGAGGCGCCGACTTGGGCTGTGACGGCCGTGGCGGGACCTGGGGCGTGCCAGCACTCGTAGGCGTGGCTGCCGGGGTCGTTTGATCCAGAGGTTTCTGGCCACCCATGCCGGAGCCCCGTGAAGACACAATCACCGTTTTCCACCGATCAATGGCACGCGAGACCATGGTGCTGAGATCGACGTGGCGGTCATCGGCGCTGAAACCGACACCCTGGTGGTGGCCCTTGGCGGCCATGTCCATACAGTACGAAAGCAACGACTCTTCGATGGGTATGGTGGTGGGCGGTACGATGCGGTACTCGCGAGGCTGCTGTAGCCGGTTGAGATGCTCGATCTGGATCTTCAGGTTCGCGTTCTCTTGCTTGAGCGTCTGCTGCGATTCTTTGAGCTTCTCCAGGTCCTTCTGTCTGCGGCCCACGCTTCGCGCAAGCTCCAGCCCCCAGAGCTCGCTCCTCCTCTGCACCGGGAGCTGCTCCCAGACGTGGTAGGTGGACTGCAGGTGTTCGTTGATCTGCTTCTCGAGCGACGAGGCAGCCCTCTCGGCCTTCTTGACGCCATCTCGCACGTCTCGCGGGAAGTGGGTGTTGGCGGGCGGGTAGGTCAGGTCTTCCGACGTGGCCGTGGTGGCCATGGCACAGGCAACCCTCCACTTCCTGAACTCTTCCAGGAAATACATTTGCAGGGCCTCGAACTGCTTCTGGGCCGGGGGCTGTATCGACCACGAAGTCGAGGTGGGATGCGGCGTGGAGGAGAACAGCGTGGGGGGTGCCTGGAGGCACTGCAGCGTGAGGGCCGGGAAGTCGAGCGAGAGGGGATCGAACTCAAAGGGGAGTGAATTCATGTCGATATGCTGCCTAGAATTACAGCTACCGCGTTAGTGACGGACCCCGGCGAGCAGGAGAAGAGGAGGTGGAAGGCAACGTACTTCGCGGCCCGCCAGGAGCTGAGCAGTTCCCTCAAGGCCAGCTCAGCAGCTCGTGCGGTGTCCATCGCCTCAGCCAGCTTTTGTCTCGCGTCGAGCTGGACCTTCTGGGCCGCCCGGCTCGGCACCCTCTGCACGGGTGGTCGCGTGGCCGAGTCTGGAGCGGCACTCGCTTCATCCCAGCTGCCTGTCAGATCCCCGTTCCTGGTTGGGATGTCGTTGATGACGCCGGTCGCCTCCCAGCTGGCCTGGAAGGGGTACTTCGGTGCCTGGGGGTGGTCGACGACGAATTGGCCCTCCTTGGGAATGGCGGGAGGTTTGATGGCAGCATCGGGTGCCGGGCTTTTCCGGGTCGAGGAGGGCGCGGTCGCGGCGGGGGTGGTAGAGACGGGGGTGGCCGGAGTGGACTGGTCCCGGCGCGCGAGGGAGCCACGGGGTTGGCGGCGGGTGATGTTGCCGCGGAGCTTGCGGATGGCGTCGACATCATGAACGCCGTCGGCAGGCTTGGGGTTCTTCTCCTTGATGTAGAGATCGAGGTGCCGGCCGAGGGAGGAGGAGGTGAAGGCCTGGCCACAGTACGGGCAGTTCTTGTCCTTCGGAGCGCTCGGCTTGGAGCCAGCGGCCTCGTCGGCGGGGCCACTGACGGGCTCGGACATGGCTAGGGAAGGGTCTGGACGGAAGACCGGGGAGGATGGTTGCCGGCAGCGCCCCAAAGGAGCTTCGGCCGTGCGGCTGTCATCCAGGGACAATGGGTCAAGATGAGGGAGGAGCTACGGGGTCTGGCACGAGCCGTTACCTTACGCATTCGCAGAGGGGAAGGACTCGAGTGTGAACGGCGAGCAGCGGGAGGGAGGAGAAGAAGAAGAAGAAGAAGGAGAAGAAGAAGAAGAAGAAGGAGAAGAAGAAGAAGAAGAAGGAGAAGAAGAAGAAGAAGAAGGAGAAGAAGAAGAAGAAGCGAGGAGAAAGGAGGGAAAGAAGGTAGGTAGGTAGGTACCTAGGTAGGCAGGCAGTTTGGCGCCGCGACGCAGACGGCGATGTCGACGATAATAACAATAATAACAGTAATAAGTCAGAAAGAGGTAAGCTAGGACGAATTTTGGGGGAGTTCAAGATTCTTGGCTTTAGGGGGTCAGGGGCTTGCCAGCGGCCCAAGATCAGCGAGCTAACCTCTACAGGCACCGTGCCATCCTCGTCCTCCCACGTACACCGGGGCCCGGGCTGCTCCGTGCAGGGCTCCGTAGGGGACATACGAGATCACGCTAAGCGGCATCCATCCGGAGGGAGTGTAGGTTGGCAGGCGAGCGTGGGAGGGGGGCTGGCGAGTTGGGGGGTCCTCTCGGGCACTTTGGAATCTGGAGCTGGAGGTACCTAAGGTAGTATCAGCCCGAACGAGACCTGATTATTCCACGCATACCGCCGTACGCACTCTGCC